GCCTACTAATAGTTTCTTGGGATAATCTCAAATGCAGTAGTGTCATCGACATAATTCGTACGTATATGCCAATTCATGTACAGCTTGTTTTCCATGACAGCAAAGAGCGTTAATCCGAGTTTTGTTCCCTGTGGGACGCCACCATCAACTTGTTTCCATGATAACTGGAGGAGCCGTCGACGCATACTGCTTGTGTTCGGTTAGTAAGGAAGGAGCGGACCTAAAAAAACAGAGTTTGATCAATGTTAAAAGATCTAAGTTCATCTAGTAATATTGAGTGGTCTATGATATCAAAACCTTAAGTAGATTCTACAAACAATAACCGAACAGAACAGTTTCCTGAACAACAGCTTCATGTATAGCTTGCATTAAATAAATCAATGCGTGCACCGTAGAGTGCCCATGGCGCCCATATTGACGTGGGTGAATAGTATCAGACACCTGTCCTGAAAGTCTTTTGTTTGTAAGACAGATAGTAAGTACAATTGGTCTCAAGTCCTATTTAATGTTTTGAGGGGGGCAAACTTTAGCGACTGGTGAGATAATGGAAACTTTTAAAGTGTCAGGCACAAACCTCTCTCTCAACGATTCATTGTAAATATCTTGGATTAGTGGTGCTAATGCGGCTGCGAATTGCTTTAACAGTTTGTTCGATCTGGACCCACCACTTTATGTCTAGACAATTTGTGCAAGAAGGATGAAACCTCTTCTAAGGAAATAAGCAAATCTGGTGGAACTACGTTGGGCGGAGTTTGGGCTGGCATTAAAAGGTCTCGGTAAAGGAAAACGAGGTGCCCACGGAAAAAAATTCTAGTCGCGCGAGTATTTTCGCTACAAAGGCAAGTTATATATCAAATTAAAGCTAAAAGACTAAATTACCTTATAAAATATTTTATTTCATCGAATTTCAAAAGGCGCTTCAGTTTTTTGCTCTCGAACTCAGAGGTATAGAGTTTACTGCTGAAGCTCCAGCCCTTTCGCGTTGTTAAATATTCATTTCTTTTTTATTGCATCTGATTGACAGATAAAAGACCTAAAAAAGGGTGTGAGGAAATTTGCATATGTCTCTTATTAGCGGAATTATTGCATTTCAAACTAAAAAGTCGAATCTCGAGCGCGATTTACGCAAAGAAACTGACATAAAATGAGTTACAAAGGGAAATCGGAAAATTCCTCACACCCTTTTTGAGTCTATATCATTATCCATCACATCTGAAAGTTTCAAAGCGATAGCTTAAAACCTTTCCCGACTGGAGGTCGGAGAAGTTTGATTTTTGCGTCTAAAATAGAGTAAGAGAAAAACAGCTCTAAAGATTTAGCGCGAGGTCCACGTTTGGCTGGTTAGCTCCGTCCCCCACTTGAACTTTAATTAACTCTAGCCAATCACCTTCCGCGCAAGTAACAAAGGAATTAGTCATGGTCATGGTCATTCGTTTGCGCGGGATTGCGCGGGAAGTTTTGTCAACACTTCGGCTTGGTGAAAGGTGAAATATTCGGTAGCAAGCAATCCTTTCTTCTTAGCGATGGGGAAAGTTAAACCTACAAAGAGAAAATCGCGTAAGGGGAAGAAGAAAGAGACAGCACAGGTTCCTATTGAAAAGACGGAAGCCAAGCGCCTCATGTTACGGGAAATTCGTGAGGAAGGGTATGTAATCTTAGCGTTTCAGCCTGGACTCAATCGCAGTGCAATCGTGCAAATTACGCTCGAAAGAAAACATTTTAAATAATGTGACTCGGAAATCAACCTGCTCGATTATCTTAAAGAAACTGTAGTGATAAGGAAATGCAGAGGATAATGAGATCATTGTTGATTATCAGGCCTGTAGGACTCAGGGTGCAAAGAAAGTCAATTCTACAGCCCGAAAGTCATTTTGACTAGCCCGAAAAATTTTTTCGCGAGCAGAATGAAAAATTATTAATTAATTATTCCTTTCTTAATTACACTGTAAGTTGATAAATTACTGGCTTCATTTATTCATTACAATCAGCTGTAGTTTAAGAGAAGCAATAAATAACCGTAAAAGTGTGAACTATAAGTAGACCTGGTAAGATACTCTTGACACACTAGTACAATAATTCAGTGTTCACCTTTTGATTATAAATGCCTTTGTCTTGAAAGTCAACTCACAGTGATGAAATAACGAATTAAGTGAAGCTAACGGAATGAAGGTCCAAATAACAGACAAACGTTTATCTTTGAACATAATGCTAAAAACTACATATTACTCATTGTATTACTGGTTAACCTCTTGTGAAAATGTTCAAGTAGTCAATCTTCTGTAACGCTTTGAGTTCAACGCAATATTCACTCCCGATGTCTTCAACTAGTTTGATTTTTTGCTGTTTTGCTCTCGGCGCTGCCACACTGTAGAATTTTTTCTAAGTCCACCACAACACCTGAATGATTAACATGCATTTGAGACACTTTACAATTTAGAAAAACATTTTTTAAGAAAAAAAAAGGCGTTGAAACCGTGAAACCAAAGTTCTCAGTGGACACACTAAAAGACAACGTAGACAACGCGAAAAGCTGCCAGTGAAAGCGCTTCATTCTGCAATTTGCCGCGGGAGTATTTCTTAGCCGCTGACAGGGGAGATGTGTATATTATTAAAGGGCATAAAAAATTGATAGCTTTCATCAGTTTGCTTCTCATTCAAAAGTAGTGCATTCTGAAGATCATTTTTCTGAAGAAGGTTTGTTTGGGAGTCGGTTTTCCGAGTCAAGTTTCAAGTTCACGGGAAAGTGGAAAGTGAGAGTGCCAAGACACCCATCAGTGAGCAAATATCTTGCAAACAAAAATTATGCAAATTTGTGGTTCATCTTGTTACAACTAACCAAAGGTTTTAAGGTTTGAAAAGAACAAACGTTCGTTTTATTTCTGGCAACTTTTCATCTGAAAGATTTTCGTGAAAAGTGAACACAATACGGGGTGGCATATTTTAATCAACAAACACCTACAGTATCAGTGTTTAGAATTTACCATACTGAAACGCATGTGACCAATATTTGCTAAAACCATAATAAATAAATTTTACGTGCAAGTCGTGGCATGCGTGATAAAAATAAAAATTATATATTTATCCTAATATTTATGCGAGTTATGCACAGGATCCCGGAGTGAACCGAATGAACTTTCTACGGATGAGCCCTTTCTTTTACTTGTTATTTCCAGATAGCTGGAATTGCAGTTTGATCTACTGTTTTGTTACTAGATATGATGGGGAATTTTTCGCCGATAACTTGGGAGACAAAGATGGCAGATCGCATGAAGCGGGGAAAGCTTCCACGGAGGATACGCTATTTTGAGTATTGTCATTGGGCGCACTCTCTCATGGTAGGTTGGAAGGACGGACACTTACTCTGTAAGGGGAATGTAAAACGTCTTATGAATTCTTAGCGGAAAGCCTTTGTAGCTTGTAAACAGATAAACATTTCTGGCGCAGGCTAATGATTCAATATATTTATTGTACAGGTCTAAGCAAAACAGAAAATCCTTTTTCATTGTTTTACCACAGTTCTAATGACTTATTTTGATTTATCTAGCGTAAAGAAATTGGTCCAAGCGATGCTCAATTTAGCTTCCCGAGCACAGTGCTAAGCTTCATTAGGGCGCTTGTCCCTGGTGACGTGGTGGGGGAGATTCGAGAGGTAAGAATACATAAGAAACATAGTTTAGTTATAACTGCAGCATTTAATATTTATTTTTATATTCAGGATGCTTTTCAAGTCAGCATGAAAGACTTCTGTACTGCCTTGGAACTACCTACAGCTCAAGAATAGGCAGCTGAAAACATTTTTTTGTAGAAATTTAATAAAGCATGACATTTCTTTTTAATCTCAGTTTCTGATTGTTATGTACATAGAACAAAAGTCACTTATAATGTTACTGTATAGTCAATGTTATTCATCTTACTGAATGTCATTCGTAAACTACTTCAATATGCCGTGCTAAGCAGAAATTAGCTAAGCAGAAATTGTATCAAGCCTTCGCCAATGAGGGAATTTTCCTGAGGACCCCACCCCAAAGTACTTTTATGGAAAAATAGAATCTTTACTCTTGAAAAATGGTGGGGATCTAGATTTTCTCCCCCTAAAATTACACATTACCCGAAAACATTTTCAATAATGAAACTTTTTCTGAACGGGCTCTGAAATTACACGTTACTGTTATAACCATGTTCATGATTCATCTTCAAAAATGGCCTTGGCCTCTCTGATACACACCAATGAATGGTCTCAAAGTTGTCAAAAATCAAACATTTGCAAAATATATTTTCAATGTACACTGAATGTTAATAAAATAAGCTGAGATTACACTGTACACATTTCCTGGAAATTACAAAAGGCCATATGGCACAGGTACGAGTACTGAAAGAGGTACTGTACATCATACCCTCATTGGCTGTTTTCTGAAAATAGGAATCCTTTCATTTGTGTACAAAAGTTATTAAAGTAAAGGATTCTGAAATAAACTAGACTGCTGTAGACAGCTGGATGATTGTGGTCACAAACTTGGTCATTGCTTTCATTTCTGGCCTCTTTTTGATGCACGAGCCTTGCAAGATTTCTTAGTGCTCCCTTTCTTGGAAGTTGCTTTCTTGCCTTTTGGCTTCTTGCCAGTTTGATGAAATGCCTGGGATTTGTACATAACCCCTTCAGCTCTTACAAAGGCATCTTGCTTCTTTACTTTGGACCTCTTCAGCTTCTTCCTCTTGATCTTTACTTCCTCTGATGACTGGTACTCGGCAGTGTCCACCCGTTCCTTGTCTAGCTTTTTCCAGGCCTCGACTTGCTCTTCGGTTGGTACTAATCCAATCTTGGGGAAGAGCTTCATGTATGTGCTAGCATAGCCACGGTTAAACAACAATACTCCTAAATTAGTGGCAATGTCAATCTCCGCAGGTGAATTATATTGTTCCTTGGGAGCCAGACTCCAGATCACGTGGTGCAATGACTCATTTTGGTTTTGTGTAAAACACTGTTCGCAGCCTGCTAGAAATCATTCATCACCCAATGAGTCAAAGATAGGTTGAATAGCATCTACAATGGCTGGTGTCAAAGGATGTTTATATGGGCGGTGCAACTCTGTTCCATTGGCAATGTCACGCTGGAAGGAACACCATGAAGATTTCTCAGTAGGACAATCACTGTGGTTGGGGTTTTCTAGAGTGCTCGAGCAATGCTTTAATATGGCATGTGTAGCCTTGGACATTGCCTTGGCATCTCCCTTGTTGTTTCGGATGGCCTGTCCATACCAGCCTTGCATGCTGTCGATTCTCTTGGTTGTCAGGCCACCAACGCCACCTAGTCCCTTTCGACCATCAGCAAGCTTTTTGCCTAAAATGCAGATATCACAAAATGAACCTCAAATAAAACAGCTGTCTTTTTTTTCAGAGGGGGTAGGGGGTGGGTTAGTGGTCAGTGCCACCTTTTTGGAGGAGGTTTTCCCATCTAGTTATTGTAATTTTCAAAGCATGCTTTTTTCATCTCTGGACGTCAGGCCTGAGTCCCTCCTGGGAAACATGGGTGGTTGAGGAGCTGCGAAACATACTGCTTTCCTGAGTTACCAGTAAATCATTGCTTAATTATCATACCAAGTGCCAAGGCTTTAAACAGTATTTTTGTCTGGACAAAATGTAGATAAAAGCAATTTTACTGCTTGCTTGTTTGGGAGAATGTTCCCTTATCATTATTTTGAAAATTTGCCATCTTTCCTCATGGCAAGGAAAATGGAGGTGAATAATTTTTGTAAATGAATTTTGACATGTGACTTTGTTATTTTGACACGTATCTTTGTTATTGCTGGTCTGCAACATATTATTGGTATGTCAAACTCGTCACCAGGGAAACAGCTGAGTTTCTTCGTGTTCACATGATATGCTCTTGGCCAATTGAAACTAAACAAAATGGACCATTTTCGAAATAATTTGACTCACACGTTTTGTTCATCACCAAAGCGAGGCTATGTGAAAGGCAGGAAATTCATTGTGCACCACGCACTAAAATTCCAGCCTTTTGGGGCCCATTTCCGCGTGCCAGTGTATTTCGAAAATCTGCCATTGAGCTTTCATACTTGGTATTATAATTATATCAGGTTTTGAGTTAGATTCCTTAGTGCAGTATACTGGAGTGAACATTTAGGCATGCTTACTGAATAGTAATGCTTTAGCTGTTGAGTACAGCATTTTTGAACAAGTTTTCCTACCTTTGTATTCTGCCACTTTTTTTCCTGAGATTGGTGCCCATCCTTTTTTTTGTGACATGCGCAATGCAGTCTTCCTTCGGTATGTGGAATGAAGGTCCATATGGTGCAGCTTGTTCAAGCTGAGAGTATGATTTACTATCACCATCCCCAACAAATGGGCTGTATCTGATCCCCTCTGGAGTACGCTTATAAAGGGTCAGTACCCCTGCTGCCTCCATAGACTGTGACACAAAGAAAACAATCATTTTTGCTTTAGGTTGACAAAAGCACATCTCATATCTGATAAAGGCATTTAGTGAAAATGCAGTAAGAGATGAATACTGAACATCCTGGGTGGGGGCAGGAGTAGGAAGAAACAACTGGAGAATATCTGTTCACTCAGAAATTGCTTCAGAGTCCACAGGCAAATTCAAAGAATGCACTGTTGTATATTTTTATATTATATTACATGTATATTGAAATACCAGGGTATATATTTTTTTGGTGTGATCCACAGTCTGCAGTGAAAATAATAATAATAAAGAACCTTTCTAAGACTGATGCTGTAGATGGCATTCATGAACGCACCAAGTAAATAGATGGGAGTGATTTCCGGCGAGCGCCAAAGTGGCGGGAGGAATCTCTGGGCAATGAGAGTAGCAGTTTTAGGGAACCTCAAAATAAAATTTCCTGACATATACAAGTTTGTCCTGAGTGGGTTTTCCCTGTGTGAATACAGTCATCACCACAATAACTAAAGGCAGAAAAAATCTTTGCCAGATTCGGGATTGTTAATAACTTCCTCCTCACTTCCGACCTAGACCTTGTAAATGTTGTTGAGGAATGATCTCCTTTGACAGGGGAGAAGAAAAAATGGTATCTTTTTGAAAACAGGAAATACTACTTGTAGTTCAAAGTACTGGTCAATTGGTTCAAAGTAGTGGTCAAGTGGAATAAAATTATTATTATTATTATTATTTTAGAAAACCTTACCTGGGCGCTACCGTCGTGATTTAGGTAGCAAACTTCCCCGTGCTCAACTTGTTTCTCAAGGAATTCCATCCGCGAGAGCTGTCCCTCTGAGTGGAGCTTTTCCAGTCGATCGCAAGTAGAACAGGAACTGCTAAGATGAATGACATCCAGAACTTTTCCTGTTTTGAGTGAGATCCCGGCAACAACTCCGTCTCTCGCACACCATCCGCGGCTGCACCACGATCCATCGAAAGAAACAGCTGTGGTACAGTATCCTTCGCTATCAGTCTCCACTAGCTCCTTCAGTTCCCTGGCTGAATGTTCGAGTTCTTCGCGAACAAGTTCACTGCATGCATCGGCTATTATTCTGGTGTTTTCGCACCAAACCGGCTTGCTCAAGGGCTTTGGTAGACCTAAAATACTCAACGTTTTTGCAGCTGCCAGTTGTCCCCTTCCAATCGCTGGAAAAGCAAGGGTAGACACTCTGTTGATATCGAAAAGCTTTCCCGATTTACTTGAGGAGTTAAAAGGCATCTGAATGAGACTACAGTTCGCATTCGTGCAAACGAAGCCAAATCTCACACCTTGGCCGCTGCGCTCTTCGAGTTCCTCGCAAAACACCGGGCACTGGCAAAATTTGCACACAAGTGACCTCTCGATTGCTCCATTCAACAAATTTATATCAACTACAATGTTGTTTCTTTTCTCTGTACGGTCGTCTGAGTCGATTTCAGAGCAAAGTTTCCGAGCGGAAACGCTTGCGTTCAACTCTTCCTCATCTAGCCATTTTACTTGATCAAACCATGATCCCTTGTCTGACTGTGCCAGTGTAGTTTTCTTATGCTCAGAAATACTTTCCGTTGTCTTTCTCTGTTTCTTCCGTTTCCGTGTGCTAGTCCAGGGACAGTCCGATTTCCGTTTCATAGGGTTCATATTCCGTAGAGAGTAGAGTGTTTTGAATTATCGAGCTACGCCAGCACGCGCTCTTGAAATACGACACTTGAGTGTTTTGTCACGCAATTGACAGGGGCTGTCAATCACTTTTCGCGCGCAACTTATGGCGGGAAACAGAAAAGGCTCATTTTAGAAGGGTTAAAAAGCACTTTCTGATTTTCTTTTTCTGCCAAAATAAAATTTAGGACCCACTCATGCCAAAAATCCAAAAAAAACAAAATCGAGCAATGTACTAAAATTTTCCTTTACCGAGACCTTAAGGGTTCAATCTCGAGCTATACTAGTGAAACAAACATTAATTTGGGTAGCCAACTCTGCAGGAGTAGTGATGACGTCACTTAGGAATTGATGGTACCATTCCCGCTTACCAAATGTGTCCTGTCCTGTCAGGGATTTGATGTCATGCCACCACTTCTTGGGGTTAGTTTCAGCCAGACCATCCACTTTGTTGTTATAATGTGAGCGCTTCGCCATTTTAATAGCGCCATGGACTCTATTCTACCAAGCCCTATAGACTGGTGAATCTTTCCTATATTTAATAAATGCTCGTTGTCGCTTCTCAATCATAGATTTCAATTTCACAGTGATCCAAGGTTTATCACGTACATGAGTTTTTACCGTTTTCCACGGAAAAAAGGTTTCAATAGCCAAGCTAAGTTCCTTAGAGAACAACTCAAACTTAGAGGCACGTGAGGCGGCATTGTAAACTTTAGTTGTAATCCAGGATCCAAACTCTCTCCAGTTGCTTGTGCAGTTCTGTTTTCAATGAACTTTTTGTATAGAATCATGTTGAGGTGGATGTTTAAAAGTTCAGCGCACTAGGACGGTGAAGTGGTCCGATGAGCCAAGCTTGGGTAGCCTCTAAAGATCGAAGGTGTGGGGTCTATTAGTAAAAAACCAGTCAAGTATCCCAGAGACTCTTGTGTTGAATTGAACTAGCTGTTTCAAGTGGTTAGTTCTAGAAATAGAGTCAGAGTGCAGGCCATTTGAAGTCGGATTAAAATCGCCGGTTAAAATAACTGTTACGTTTGGATGTTTCAAAAGATACTTATCAATATTCCTCTGAATATGGTCACGAAGAGTCGCATTTTCCACTTCTCCGTTAGTAGTTGAATGATAAACAACACCTAGAAAAATTATGGAAATATTTTGTGGGGGTGAATGTGGTCTTAATTGAACCCAGATAGATTCCACTTCCTCGTGTTCCATTTCTACTAATCTCTTACACGGAATATTCTCTTTGATGCATACGCAAACGCCACCACCGGGCCGGTTTTTCTTGTCATTTCTCAATAACAAAGAATCCAGGTAGTGAGACAGCCGAATCCGGTACCAGTTGCAAAAGCCACGTCTCTGTTATGCAAATGACATCAGTTTTATTGTAAATGGCGACTACCTTGTTAGATAACTTGCGAGAGTTTGTAGCTAAAATAGAAGGGACCTCGTAAGACTTTGCCTACGAGACTCCCCTGATTTCTGCCATGATACTGTGAGACCGTCACAGAAAGGACTCGAGTGGTGATTCGCACTCTAATCTGTTCCTTCGAAGAGATGGTAGCATCCTGATGGACCTGTCTCTTTCGGTTTGGAGATTGTTTGCCAGCTGGAACTCCCCTAAACTGGAAAATATCAAGATCTTTTAGTGTATGAAGCAATTCTTGGGACAGGTTGCAGTACCGAGAGAAGGGTTTCACGTGAATAAAAACATAAACATTTAGGCGAGTGTAGAGGAGACAGGTGGAGGGTTAGTGGAGATCGGGAGTTCTCAATTCCTGGAGGGCCAGGGTTCATTTCCGCGTTCATGAAGACCGTAAGATTGAAGTCTGGGTTTTTAAAAAACCGCATTTGGTGGATTTCAGTTTCGGTTGAGGAAAACGAGTGAAACCAAAATGGCAAGACGGGGCTACTCTTCTGACTGTATTCCGGCAAAACAAGGCGAAGGAAACTCGCACCGATAAACATGAACTTTGGGAATGGTGACCGATGGATCTATCGCCATCTCCAGTTGGCTGAGGAGGCAGTAGCCCACCCCTTTTCTGAAATTGTGTACTAGCAGAGCTCTCGCGCATGCCAGCGGAGCCCCATGGGTAAGTAAATCTACCCATCCCAGAAAATTTGGTAATCACACGGCCATACAGCTAGTTTGGGGGCACAGGAGAAAACTGATTGCACATCAATGTTGTGATCATTTGACAGCTGCCAAAACAGGGCATCCGCTGACCAGTATCACCTTACCGTATCGCGGGCTCAGGTGTCAACCCATTGAGGTCAAGTATTTTTTTGAAGATATCCGCTGACAAGTTACTAGTTTTCAAATGATGGCAGGTTCAAGTTTATTTTTTTAAAATTCATATGAAACATGTTGTGTTTATGTCACTATGGCCCCGCAATATAAAGAATTTGATTTCAAACTGACCTCGGACGTGAACATTCGCCAGTTATTTAAAAAGACAGGCGGGGAAGACCTTTTCTTACCATTGGTCACGCTCTACGTCCAATTTTTTTGCTCTGATTGGTCGGAAATCCGATTTCGGATGGCATCATTTTCGTTGTACACCTTGCTCGATGCGTAAGAGGGTTTAAAAGTCTCAAGCGATTCTGGCCTTACTTGATAGCTTTCAGCAGCTGCATCTTAAATGGTAAGCTTGAGTAATTATTGTATTTGATGTTTGTTCTTATATATCTACAATCATGGACAAAAGTTTTGGGACACTTTTGCGTTTCTGGGGCGATTTCCAATGCACACAGGTCCAACCCCCTTCCCTCACCCCACAAACAATGTCGGACGCGTGAATCCAGAATTTTTTCCGAGTTTCAACTTTGTATAGGGTGGGGGGAGAGAGAACTGCAAGAAAATTTCGAAAAGGATGCACTGTTTTAAGAGGGAAACGAGAAGTGACAGAAAAATATGAATATTGCAGTACTGTGGCAAGGACTTTTGTCCAGGATTGTAGTTTCATGAAGCCGAGCACAGTTTATGCGGCAAGTTTATGCACGTTTGTAAGATTTGAGGTGATGATCTGACCTAGTATCAGGTTTGATATAAGCTTACAGAATTTTAAAAAGCCTTTAGATATATTTTCTTACCGCAAATAGAGAGAAAACGTTCCGAAGAATATTTAGTTATAAATTTGGCTGTAGAAAGAACACTTTGAGCGATTTTCTTGCTTTGAGGAGTTCATCTTTGAAAACAGTGAACACCGGGAAGCCGGCTTGAAATCATAAACTTAAGCTTTACGCTTAAAGACTCAGGATTTTTTCAGGCACTTTAATTCTTGTCTTCGTGAATGAACATTGAATTATATTTCTTTTATTGATCGGTAGTAGTCTCTCTTGCAATTTTAATTGCTGTGCCATTTCTATTTTCAGTCGTTCATGAACATCGCTTGCAGGAGTACTGAATATCCCGCGTGTATCAAACGCTTTTTATGATTACAAATCGTTATAAAACCATTAAATAAAAAATAAATAACAATTATTCACCGAAGTGGAAGTGGCTAGTGGTGATTATTTACCAAGGCCGCGAAGCGGCGAGGTAAATATCCACTACTAGCCACCGACACTGAGGTATACTAAACCAGTATAATCTACTAAAACAGTGAGATAATTAACCAAAAAAGAATGATTTTTAACTCGTTTACTGTTGCCAACTATTACAATTTTGGCGCGCAATGACTGAACGGCTGCGGTCATCGCTCTTTCTTGCCTACAAATAAAACTTTTGGAGGCATGTGTTTAGCTCTTGCGGGGAAATTTCTTCAAAAAGAGTTGTTCTTAAAATCATTCTGTAAAAAAGATTATTAAATTTAGTTTTGAGCTTATTTACGAACAAGTCAACCAAATAAAGTAACGCAAGACTTAAGCTTAATTTGCATTTGTAAACAAAAAATTTTTCACGTGTTTTATCGATAAATTCAAGTCCAAAAGACAAAGTTTTACCTGTTAAAACTTTCAAACCGAACTTCGTCACCTTCTTCGTGTATTTCGAGAACCGGAGCTTGCTTGATTAGTTGTGAAATTTCTTTGTTTGTTACGGCGGTAAACCGGGACTGCATTTTACTTGCAACTTACACGAGTTTGGCGTCACTCACTCGAAGGAACTGGAGGTGAATAGTGCATGATATTCACTGATTGAGTAGCCAATCAGGACATGCGAAAAACACTATCCACTGTTTTAGTATATACTAAACATAATTAATTCTTTATGTTTAACCATAACTCTATTAATGTTCGTTCAAACAGTCGAGCGCAGCTTGTACTGCAAATTTGGCGCTTGTCAAAAGTGACAACCGGCTGGCCCTATAGGTGATTTTGCAGATTTTTTGAACGGTTTCGCTAAAAGCCCACCACTGATCGTCCTGAATATTGACTGAGTGTAATCTGTCTTGAAAAATAGTGAAATAATGCATTCTGCCCGAGGGCTGTATGATAAATACAGCGCGTCATAGTACCTTTTCACCACAGATGTGATGTGTAAAAAGTATAAAAGGTTGGTTTACACCCCCCCCCCCAGTTTTGTTGGCAAGATTTTGTAAAGTAAACTTGTCGAACGCAAAAAATTTGGCGTCATTTGTTTTCCAAGAATTTGTTTTCCAGGTCTAATCTACTGTGCTCAAGAGCCATTATGGCTCTCTAATGTGATCGAAGATGATTGCTATTTTTTGGGTGTACATATAAGGTTATCAATTCGATGTAAGATTTTTCACTCTAAAGTCACTTAGCCTTACCCTTAAAAGTCACATGAATGTGCCCTTAAGTTCACTAATTTGTGGATTACAAGTGTATTGTTTGATTTAAATTATAAAATTATTAACGCGAGCTTCGCTTTTAGCCCTAGCTAAATCTATATATTATTTTTACAGACTTCCCAGTAAAATAAATAGTTTGATCTATAAAGCTGCCAATCCTTGCCACTGCTTAATCTATATTCTCTACATCTGTCTCTTTGGGCATTGTCAAGTTAGAGTGTGACCTGCAGAATCTCACTGTAAAGCCCATTTACAACCTGTATTATATTTTATTGATTGACAATCAATATTTGCAGTAGGTAGCTTTTAACTCACTGCTACTGTTATTTTCTGTAGCCATTATTCTGAATGTACCTTATATCCACTTGACCAAAAATAAACCTATAAACTGGTAACATACTGCATGTACATTTAGTCATTTTATTTCTTTCTGATAAGACTGGCCCTCAGTGCCTTGTTTCAAAGTGAAAAGTTACTTTACATCCTGCTAATACAATTGAGGCAGTAACATAACATTTCATATAAAGAATAGCTATATGCCACCATATATTTTGGAAAAAGGTGTTTAGAGCCCGGGGGGTACTCCCTATAATGGCCTATACGGGGAGGCTCCGCTCGATAGGGGCACCTTTTTCAGGCTTCAGGTATATATGAAAGGGTAGGGATATTACTCATTGCAGTATACGAAAGGGTAAGGAAATCTGTCAATTGGGTCTGTGAAAGGGCCCAAAGGGCTAAGAGATGAATTTTATGGCTTTATAGATTCGAGAAAACGTTCTATTTTGGTGATTGATTCCTATTTAAATTACAGGGCATTTTCAGCAGTTGTAAGGGATGCGAAGTTTTAAACAAGGTATGTGAAAGGGGTACCATTTGTCAATACCTTTCGTGACAGATGGTATGTAAAGGGGTGAGGGGTTGGACCTTGGGGCAGAGACTCCTGTATAAAACTTTGTTGGGTACCCCCCTGGGGTTTAGAGGCATTGCCATACAGTAAATCCCTACTTTTAAGAATAAAATGAATACCTTGACCACAGTTGTGGCATTTAAGATCCCTCTGGAGCTTTCCTATACCCACAATTCTGTATCCCTCAAGGAGTAGAAGGGGTGACTTTGCAGTAGAAGACTTCCTGATGTTTCTTGTCATACAACTCTAAAGTGGTAATTGAAATTCATTGGAGGGTCTTTCAACATTACTTTTATTCCTATTGATGATTCCTCATTTTTTAGAGTGGTGTGTGCCGGGGTTGAGGCTTGCATGTCAATTAAATGAAACACTTATTTGAAGTTTTTTGCGTTCTCTAAGCACATCCTTGAAGGTTGACGTTTTTATTAAGGAGAATGACAGTTATCTCAACTGGAGCTATGTCATATACTGTAACTCTTTGCTTCATATACTAATCAGAATTTATTGTATTATAGCAACCTTTAGAGTGACTATGAAAGTTTGATCCTGGAATG